TGCAGACGATGATAGTTACGAGAATTGTGAATGACAGCAGATTCAAATCGAGCCATCAAAACTTGAATTCTATTCTACAACCTCATTGGAAGAGTAATGACGAAGTGTTTTGGCTGAGACAAAACTTAAGACATCTCCATCGGATAGTCTATCGCCAACTTCATAGTTACGTCTAATCTCCTTGATAGTAGTTAGAACCCATGCCTTTTTACCTCATGAAGTTTTAATCTGCTAAATTAACTTTTCAAATTCTTAGCTCAATGTTCATCACATGTCTTCCATCAACACACAATTATTTTACAATAAAAAAAATGTCTGAAGAAGTAGCCCTCGTTATTGACAATGGTTCTGGAATGTGTAAAGCTGGTTTTTCTGGTGATGATGCTCCTCGTGTAGTGTTTCCTTCTATCATCGGTCAACCAAAACACTTGTCAGAAATGTCCGAATTCTACGTTGGAGATGAAGCTCAATCAAAACGAGGTCTATTAAATTTGAGAAATCCAATCAATCAAGGAATTGTCAATAATTGGGATGATATGGAAAGGATTTGGTTTCATACTTTTTACAATGAATTGAGAGTTGCTCCTGAGGAATATCCAATATTGATGAGTGAAGTTTCGTTGAATCTCAAGACAAATAGAGAAATGATGTCACAAATCATGTTTGAAAAATTTTGTGTGCCAGCTCTGTATGTTGCTAATAGAGCTGTCTTGGCATTGTACGCTTCTGGAAAAAGTACTGGAATGATTGTGAATTCTGGAGATTCTGTCACTCATGCCGTTCCTATTTACGAAGGTCATGCTCTGCCATGCCATTTTGAAAATGGATTTAGGTGGTCGAGATTTAACAAATTATTTAATGAAAATGTTGACAGAAAGAGGATACACTTTCACTAACACTGCTGAAAGAGAAATAGTTAGAGATCGTAAAGAAAAGCTCTGTTACCTTGCTCTAGATTTTCAAGAGGAAATGAATTCGGTTGTAAGAGAAGAACCAACCATTGATAGAAAATTGTATGATATACCAGAGGGTAATGTTGTCACTCTTGGGAATGAAAGATTCAGATGTCCAGAGATTTTATTCCATCCAAATATGATTGATGTGGAATCTAAAGTTGGAATTCATGAAATGACTTTCAATTCAATTGGACAATGTGATCCTGATATAAGAAAGGAATTGTTTGGAAATATTTTCTTATCTGGTGGCAATACCATGTTTGAGGGAATTACTGACAGAATGAGTAAGGAATTAACTGCTCTCGCTCCAGAATCCTTCAATATTAAGGTGACTGCTCCACCTGAGAGAAAATACTCAACTTGGATTGGTGGTTCAATGCTTGCACTCAGTTCCACTTTTAAAGATAATTGGATGACAAGGGAGGATTATGAAGAGGTTGGACCAGCCATCATACACAGAAAGTGTTTTTAAAATTTAAACACCAAGTTCCCAAAATGTTTTTCATTGGAGTTCATTTTATCTTTTGCCAGCTATTTATAAACATGATGACGAAATTTTCGTCATCATTACAAAAAGAATGATGTCAGCGACTCCGAAATTAAATTGCTGATGAAGAAGACACTGAGGGTTTTCATTCAAATAATGCCCATTCATGAATGATATTCTTGAAAAAAACAAGACAATTTAATTTGCAAACAAGCAATTCAACTAACAACTAACAACAACAATAACTCAACAAAAATGGACTTTTTCAAAAAGATTGGTCAATTCTTCTCTGGATGGCTCAAAGGTTTATTCGAAAATAAGGAAGCCAAGATTCTATTCCTTGGTTTGGATGCAGCTGGTAAAACTTCAGCTCTATATAAGATTCAATTAGATGAAAATGTCAGCACCATTCCAACTATTGGTTTCAATGCTGAAGTTATACAATATAAGAAGGTTACTTTCAGAGTGTTTGATATTGGTGGTCAGGATAAGATTAGAAAGTTATGGAGACACTATTATCAATCGACGAATGCTATCATTTTCATTGTCGATTCTAATGATACTGAGAGATTTAAAGAAGCTGCTGAAACCTTACGGGAAGTTATGCAAGATGATCTGTTGAAAGATGCCAAGTTATTGGTGTGGGCTAATAAGCAAGATTTACCAAGAGCTGCCAATGTTAAAGACATGGTCAATACTTTGAAATTACACGAGATCAAGCAAGAATGGTACATCCAACCATGTAGTGCCCTGTCTGGAAATGGATTATTCGAAGGTTTAGATTGGTTATCCAGTAAATTGTAAATATCACAATGAATAAAATCATGTCCAATGGAGACACTATTCAAATATCTTCTTTTTCGTCAAGTAATTCGTGAATTCGAGATCCATCTGTTGACTCACCAACACTCTTATAAACTCCTTCTTTCTTGAGATGATAATACACAAGGCAATTACAACTCCAATAATCCACCAGTGAGAGATCCAACGGTTGCTGCATCCAAATTCCAATAATTGAATTTACTGCCAGTTGTTGAAACTTTTGGAACAATGCAATCAGAAAGTGTTGGCGTAATACGCACGGCACCAGTTCCTTTCGAATAGATAGCATCAACCAGAATGTATATTCATTGGGGCTTCTGATGGATTCACACTGGTTTTTGTTGAGGTTCCATCCATAAAGAAGTCAAATCCAGAGAATGTTGGTATTGTATTCATTCCAATAAACATCTGGATCAAATGCTGAACGAATGAACAGAATAATCTTTGCTCTTGAAGGTGAATGACGCATGAAGAACACATCTATTGGAATTGTTTTGTCTAAATTCCACAATAGAATTGTCAATGCTATTTTCAAGAATGGGATTTGGTTGCCTCTCATAAAGATTGAAAAGATAGTTTCGTTTTGGGGAAGTGGACAAATAATTTAGCCATCTTCATCCAACACGAATAATCTGAATGTAGGATTTAAATTCATTAATGGAGGAGGGTTTCCAGTCAGGTTAATCTTCAACTCATTTGCTCAATGAAAGGAAGATGATATTATGCCAAAATATTGTACAGTTTGGCTCTGCTCCAGGATTCTCATCTTCATACACAGCTTTGTAGTTCGACAATATTAATTATGCACTTGTTTCATCAGCTTAAATACTATCCAGTCAAAATTTGATGTAGATAAATGAAGGAGTTTTTTAAAGTGGAAAGTTGACAATGTTTGAAAATGAAACTCTTCCACACATTACTCAATATTTTAAATACAACGAGTGTATTCTTTCATCAGATACATGTAAGAAAGAAATTGTAAACCCAATTGAACTGCAAGCTCTTCAATTATTGTAAAGTTTACAATAAAAAAAACTCAGCTCGTCCTTAAAAGTCCGCACGAGCCAAAAAACATTCGCACAAACATAAATTCCCATAAAAGAAACCACATGCCACGTATTCGAAAAATCAAAAACAAAACACAAAAAAAAAATGTCCACTACTACTATTACTACTACTTCTAAAACTACATCCCGTGTCTGGCTTATTGTTGGTACTTCCACAGGTTTCGGAAGAGAATTTGTCAAGTCTGTCCTTCATAGAGGTGAAAAGGTTATAGCCACAGCTCGTTCCTTGGACAAGATTCAAGATTTGAAGGAATTGNGTGCTCATACTATGCAACTTGATGTTACCTCCGATCAAGGTACATTAAATTTGTTTGCTGAGCAGGCAATTGGAGTGTATGGTCATGTTGATATTCTCATCAATAATGCTGCCTATGTTTTGAATGGGACTATTGAGGAGACATGAGGAGATCAACACTTGTTTAATACCAATGTTTTTGGATTGTTGAATACGACACGTGCTATTCTTCCACATTTTCGTGAAAGAAAGAGTGGAATTATTGTAAATATTCATCCATTGGTGGAATAGCTAGTGTTAAAGTTGGTGGATTGTATTGTGCTACTAAATTTGCTGTGGAAGCAATTTCTGAAGCACTCAAAGATGAAGTTGCTCATTTGGGAATTAAGGTTGTCGTTGTTGAACCAGGTTACTTTAGAACTGATTTGCTTTCGTCTAGTAATATGAAGGATGCTAAAAAAACTATTTCAGATTATGAACCAATTTACAAGGAAGTTGATTTCCATGCTGTTAATCACAAGCAAAGAGGTGATCCTGTAAAGTTATCCGAAAGACTCGTTGATGTTTTGACCCAGAGTGGAGTTGCTGCTGGAAGAGAAATTCCATTCAGAATTCCATTTGGTGTTGATGCTTATCCATTCATTGAAGGTAAATGTCAAACTGTTTTGAAGGAAATGAAGGAATGGGAAGATGTCATTAAGAGTACTGATCATGATGATGTCACTCCTCAACAATAATTGTAAAATATTTAACATTTCTAAAATAAAGAGTTGTAGATTCAGCTCTAAATGTTCAAGAAATTGATATAAAGATATATATTTAAGTTACAATTTAAAGATTGGCTCACCAGGTTTCAAATAACTGGTAAAATGAGAGCCCACCACTGTGTGATAATTCATGAAATTGAGTGATTTCTCTTCGTGTTGTGAATGAGATTTTGTAAGCAAGTGCTCCAATCTTTCAACTACCTTATCTTCTACACCTGATGATTTATGACTGGAAAGATGGGACAGAATATTATCAACTTGCTCTTGATTGATTCCGTTTTCTGTTTCGAATATTTGACAAAAATCTGCATTGAATTCGTCCATCTTGGAATTTGCCTTCTTTTGCTCCAATTCGTATAACCATTCATCATCTTGAACTTGAGAACGTTTCAACAATTGATAAACAGAGTGAATATGATGATTCTCTGCAAAAATTCTTTCCACTGGTCTGAAAATGAACGATTGTTTCGTAAACTTGTAAGATGACCAATCACAAACTATTGGAATATCCAAAAAGTTTGAAAATTCATTCAATTCCTTTGCTCTATTTATAACTGAACCAATCATGGCAAAGAAACGCATCTGCTTACTTCCCACATTACCCATAATTCCATTTCCTGATGCACCCGATGCGCACATCTTAATTTTCGGTTGGTTATCCTTACTCAATGTTTCGTTCAAAGAGTTCAGTAAGGTAAGGATCTTGAGGGAAGTTTCCAAAGCAGCTGCTTGAGGATTCTTATCGGTAAAGGTAATAACATATTCATTGTAACTCTTGATTTGAAGATCTGCCTTTGAGGTCTTACAGATTGTTGAAATGGAGGTCAATGCTTTGGAAATTAAATTCGAAAGCATACCAGATTCGAATTCATAGGAATCTTCATTGAGGTTTGGAACTGTCAAGTAGATAATTGCACATTCCTTCATGGAGAGACCAAGTTTGAATAGATTGTTGGCAATATTTTCCTTCTTGGAAATTTTCGAATGGTTTCCACTGCTATGGGACATGTGACTCCTCGATTCCTTTCTTGAGTGGAACGACTCATAAGCATTGTGATGATTGTTATCTTGCTTGTCATCTTCAGTTTCAAGCTTGGTCATTTCCAATTGATTCAAAACCGAATCTGGAATAAATGCTCTAATTTCACCCAACCATCTCACAGTTTCAGTTAAACTTGAATAGATTGCATTGGCTTCCGTGAATATCGAAGATCTTGGTTTGATATTCGCCAAATCCAAAATCTCAATCTTTTTGAAATCTTGTTGTAATTTGATAAATGGACTTGCAACTGACCACCCAATAAGAATACTCATTATTACACCAAGTAAACAAACTCCTATAGAAACTCCTATAATAACATAACTACTCATAATAATACCATTCTTTACCTCTCTTTCATCAAAAACTAAGGTCATTCTCCATTTTAGGTTAAAAAATATATATGGTGATGAAGAAACCAAGAAACTTTCACCTGCATCATTGGTTAATGTTAGTCTAATATCTGTAGTTTCGTTTAAATTGTTATCTTTCTGATGTTGCAAGAGTTTGGTCATGAGTGTTCCAGCTCCTCTTGTGGTCACATTGGTTGCCTTCATTCTCTTCAAAACAATGTCGGGAATTGTGAGAGAACTACCAATGATATAGTCATTTCCATATTCTGATAGGATGACATATCCCTTTTCTAGAACTTTGATTGCTGACAAGAATTGAGCAATGGCATCGAGTGAGATGTTGATTTTGGCAAATCCAATTCTATTCTTCTTTCCTGAAGGTAATTCGGTTCTATTGTAAATTGGGGTTGACCAATAGGTTGATTGAGGTCCATTAATTACTATATTAACAATTTCATTACAATAAAATATTCGAAACTAAACACTTACCCTTATAAGGAGCTCCAAATGCACCATCTGGATACATCTTCATCAACTCTATAGATTCCAAATAATAATCAGTCTTACCAACAGCATAGGTAATATTTGTCGAATAAGAATTCGGATTATATAAACCAGTTGTCATATTCGCAGCATACACCACAAAATTTCCTTTTTGTCTCTTCATAGCCAAAGCTAAAGATTTAGTCTTTACATCTGCTGAAAATGCATAGAGTGCATTATTACCTTGCTCTCCCAAGCAAAAATTTGTAACTGTCACGCCAAATGTCTTAATTCTTTGATAGAGATAGGTCAATACAGTATCAGCAAAGTCAATGTGATAATTATGATAATCATCTGCTAAACTATCTGCAATGTATTTGGCGGGAATTAATTGACCATTCATGAAAGCTTGGATTTTCTCATTCATGTTTGTGATTAAAACGTCAACTTGTTCGAGAGCTGCTGCTTCGTTCATGGTGTAGGCAGCTGACCAAATTGGGATGGCTGTCATGAGGACAATTAGGACAATGGCAATGATGAGGAATAGTCTGATACTTAGAATAAACTTTAGAAGAAAGTTTCTATTCGAATTGGCTGGTTTGGCAAAGAGTTCTGCATTAGAATCAGTTTCGTCTTGAAGAATGTCTAGAGATTGACGAGGAGGTTGCTTTTCTTCTGGTGCTATCTTTGTCATTCTATTAAGTATTCTAAAGGACAGCTATTAGAAAGTTGTTTTTTTTGGTTTAGTTTTTAACGTGTTCATCTGAAAACATCAACTCATTTGAAGGATAAGATGCAACATCATGCATCATCGTAATCTCCCAAGAATCAATCAGTTTAGTTCAGTTTCTTATTAATCAATATTGAAATCCAATAATATTGAAATGTCGGTTTGTCCCTGTTTTGGTTGATAAGTATTCAAAGCCTTTCAAAAGTTGTAAAATCTCTAAACAATTCAAGGAATGGGCTTTGTTAAGTTTATTCAATGTTTCGACTCTAGACAAAAGCAGGCATACCAAGACCATGTATGGATCACGATTTTTCTTTAAGCACCTTCATTCCTTATAAGTTAACTCGTACTTCTTGCAATATCTCACTACATATCAATGTTTATCAAACAAAGTTATTCGAAATATTCAATCTCTATATTTCCCAAATCTTTCATTACATCTCTAACTATTACTAAGCTACATTAAGAAAGAAGCATTTCTAAACATTGACTTCAATTCGTTGACTTTCTATCCTAATTGTGACTGAAAGTCCACTCATTGAAATACAACTTGCGATCTATACTTGACTCTGCACAAACATTATGTTCCAGCAGAGTTGTACACAATTTTGGAAAACAACATTGCCATAACATATGTATCAGTAATAAGGATTGTTTGGTGAGGAGTGAGGAATATATGTAAGCGATTCTTTTATTTGGATCCCTATTGCTTACATTCAACATATTTGTAACAGAACTTCATGACACTTTTTACATCATTGCCACCTCATCACAATTTTGTAAACACATTCTCCACAACAACAACAACAGATCATCTTTGTCATCATCTTCCGATCAATTAAAAATAAATTCAATAAATTCTTTAGATGATGAACTTGTAAATTATTCATAGCAGCAAAAAAAATGTGGAATATAATGGATCATATTTCGAGCGATCAGGCAAAGACCGTCACTGAGAAGGTTATTGATGAGGAGGATGTTAGTAAATATTCGCATTGGTATTGTAGGGATGAAAGTCTTTTGAAGGAGGATGCGGAATCAAAGCCTAATGAAGAGGCCATCAGAAAAGTACAAAATTCAATGATTTATTATTTGATCAGAGATGAAGAGACAAAATCGGATGCTGCTGATCAAAAACAACAAGTAGAAACAGAAACTGAAAAGACTAACGATGAAAACAATCAAGAAAAGAAAGAAGAAAACAAGGAAAAGAAAGAAGAAAAGATTCCGAATGATTTGTTTGAAATGGAAACAACTCAAGGAGAGGACGATCTTGTTACGGTCAATTATAATAGATTGGGTCAGAAGGAAGAAGAGTTGGTCTATTTTACCATTCACATTCCAGATATTAAGAAGAAATTGTTGGTTTCTAGAGAATTACTATTGTTGGAAAGCAAGGTTTTTGAGGGAATGTTGAACAGTGAAATGTTGGAATCAAAATCAAATGAAATGACTCTCCAAAAGGAGCAAGCTCAAGAAGGTGAAAAATCATCATGTGAATACTTTGATTTGGCTATGGAATTTATTCATGTTGGAAAATTGGGTGTTTCCAAAACTTCATTCAATGAAAATGTTTCCAATATTATTGAATGGAAAGACTTGTTGGGTTTACTGAGAATTGCTGACGAATATCAAATTGAAAGTTTATCGAGAGCCATTTCAAGAGTTGTAAATCAATTCAATGCTCTCACTATTGGAATTACTTGTTTGGAATTTTCAGCTGATTGTAAATCCATCATCTTGCCAAACGTGTGTGATAATTTGGCTTTCAATCCAGCTTGCGTTGTATCGGATATGGTTTATTCTGGAATACCAATTGAAACTGCAAACCATGAAGAGGTTAACCAATACTTGGAAGATCCAAAACTTGCACTCAAAGAGTATCCATTCCTCGATAGTAATTTAGCTCCTCCAACTTTGCACAAGATTCTTGCAACACCACTTGTGCAACCACTCGCAAAGATTATTATTTCACTTCCAATTGAATTATTTGAAGGAATGATGACATCACCTTATTGCGCTCTTAAACAAGATCCAAAGATGGCATTCATTGTTTTGTGGATGCTTCAAGATGTTGAGAATAGATATATTGATACTTTTAGATTATTGAAAAGTGTTGATTGGAGCTTGTGTGAAACTGAAATTCTCTACACACTCATCTACTTTGTATTTATAGGAATTGGAAAAACATTGCCACAACATAAGAGTATTTGTGGAGAGGCTCACGACATGCTACACATGTCCATGTTTAGAAAAAATAATACTCTTTCTGATGAGGATTGGTCAAACTATCTCACCAAATTATTTCCAGAAAGAGAACAAGGCAAAATCAGTCATCTACACAAGGAGTTGAGATTCTTGAATCTTGGAATTGATGCCTCTGGTAAAACAACACTTCTGTACAAACTTAAATTGGATGAGGTTGTCACAACTGTAAGTAATTTATGAGATTGTAATATTTCTTATAATTTATAGATTCCAACCATTGGATTTAATGTAGAAACTGTAGATTATAAGAATGCCAAGATTACCATGGTAAGTTAAAGTATTGATTTTGTTATATTGACTTTAAATAGTGGGATGTTGGTGGTGCTTACAAGCTTAGAGCTCTTTGGAGACACTATTACCAAAACACTAATGGCGTAGTTTTCGTTGTGGATTCTAATGATAGAGACAGATTGGAGGAAGCAGCTGATGACCTCCACAAATTGGCTAAAGAAGACGAGCTCAAAGATTGTCCAATTTTAATTTTGGCTAACAAGCAAGACCTTCCAAATGCTATGAGTGTCGCAGAAATAGCAGACAAGATGAAATTAACTTCACTTTCACAAAAGAAATGGTTCATTCAAGCATGTTGCGCTCTGACTGGTGAAGGATTGTATGAAGGTCTGGAATGGGCTGTTGAATCATGTAATGTGAAACTTGTGAATACTCCAAAGGGTAATCTTCAAAAGTTCTCTCATTTCGGAACTATGACATTTTAAAGAACGCTTAATATATTTACTTTAATTTCTATTTACCGCAATTTATTTCCCCAAGTATCGAATAAGATGAAGTTGAGTTCTTACAAAGGAAATACTTTATTCTCTCGAAATGATTCGGTCAATATTAACACTAATGTGTACACTAAAAATTGATAATTTTGGATGATATTTCACAACTTAACACCATCTAACACCTCCAGCACAACCATATCCGGCGCCATAACCATAACCACCATAATAAGGAACAGCTCCATATCCACCATAATATGGAACTCCATAACCTCCATATCCACCATAGAATGGCATTGAGTAAGCACTTCCATAATTATTTCCATAACTTGTTGGACCAACATATGAAGATCCATAACTTGAGTATGGATTTGAGTTGACAGCATTAATTTGATTCAAATAGGATTGAGTGTTTTGAGCATATTGATTGTAATTTCCTCCAGTGACTCCATAGTTAGAACCAGCACCTCCATATGAACCATAATTGTTGCCATAATTGTTGCTATATTGGCAGTTGACCAAGCATGCAGCTAAGAGAAGAGTTGCGACAAGAGCAGTGATGAATTTGTTCATTGTTTTGATTTGTTTTTTATCTGAATTGAATGAGAATGAAAGTTTCTTGGTATTTATATGTTTGGAAAAATTGTTTTGGATGCTAACATCTTGTTTTCTAAATGTAAATTGGACAAAATAGGAATGGTTGTTGTGGATTTTGTGTAATTTAGGATGATTTTGAAATGTAAATAGAAATTCGACTAAAATGTAATTATTCGATTAATGTAATTATCTGATCTTTGCAAATTTTTGATAGAATTATCTTGGTTGTTGCCAATATTTAGAATAATAATCACCACCAATGTCTCAACACTAGAATAAATTTATTGAATTTAAATAGTGTTGGAATTATCCTGATTAACTTCTAGTTGATTACTTTCTCTCTTCTTTGAAATGAACAAAGCATTCACAACCAAACAAAACAATTCAAAGGACACAATAAAACTTGCAGGAAATCTAATTTCAAAATTATTTCCAAAACCATAGAACACGAAAGGAAAATCTCCAACAAGAATCGAAACAATTTGAAGAACAGACACACCACTCAATATGAAATAATTAACTCCTTCATGATGGAGAATGTAGAATAGACCAGCCAATAGAACCTTAATTATTAATGCAATAGTTTGAATGAAATTCTTCTCCTTATCACTTCCCAAAAACGTGTAACATACAAGCATTAGTAGCATGGAAAAAACTAAATATCCACTCTGTGGTAGTCGTTCTTGTTCCTTAATTTGGTTGCACTCTTGCTGATTGTTGCTAAGACTTGGTAGAGTTTGAGATTGTTCAACGTCTTTTGGATTGTTACTTTCATCAATTGAGAGCATAGTATTTGTTTGCATTCTTTTTTAATTATTATCTTTTTTTTATTTGAGGGTTTTGTTAAGAATTTATTCCAAAAGGTTCCATATGAACTTGTTTCTTCCTATTTAGTATTAATTACGCAGAAGTGAATAAAGTTCAATTAGACTTGCTGTTGAGAAGGAATTGTGTTGTTGGTGTGAGCTATTTGCTTGGTTTCACTCCTCTTCTTCTTTATCACCATTACAATGCTCAGTACCAAACTAAACAATTCCAAGGTCATCATTGAATAGATGGGAATGAGAACAGCCGTATCAAAAACTCTTTCATTTGGAAAGAACATTATCAAAAACAAGAGTGAATCACCAACAAGAATCGAAACAAACTGAATGGCACACACTCCAATCAAGATGAAATAATTTCCAAAACTACAGATAATTACGCTCAGAGCAGAAAGTACAAGTTTGATTAACAGTGCAATAGTTCCAATGAATGCCTTCTCCTCAACACTACCCAAAAACAAGTACACCACCAATAGAATGAGCATGACTACAACAAGACATGTTTGAATAATCCTCTCTGTGAGAATGTTAGTCAATAGAATCCTTTTCACCTTTTCTGCTTTGCTCTCTGACTCATGTTGTTGGATTAACAAATCTTCCAGTTGTGATTGAGGATAATGAGCTGCCATACCTCCTTGTGATTGGTCAGTATCTTCTTCATCTTGTGAGTGGTTGTTGCTTGTTTGCATTCTTTTTGTACTTTTCTATTATTGAATTGTTCCATAGCATAGAATTTATGAGAGAAGTATATTGGATTGTTATTAGAAGGGTATGATAAAAATGTATTGGACTCGAAGTATCATTAGTAATTAATGAATCTAAAATGTTTCCATTTGCTCTCTTCTCATAGATCTAGTATTTTTAAATACAATAATATTAATTAAATTAAAATTATTAATTAATACAAGTAGCTAAATAATATTGTTCTGGTTTTTTGAATAAAAGATAAAATTATGATAGATGTGATCATCTTTTCAGGGTCTCATGGAATTGTTTCTTCCAGTCAACAAGCGGGATGATCAGGTTTGGCTGGGGTTGCTATAAACATAGATCCTTACCGTTCTCCAGTCGGGGAAGAACAGCAATGGGCATGAATCCTAGTTGTGTGGGTATTAACCAGATGATGAATTCAACCTTTTCGGAGGCATCTTATTAAAAATGAAGGAAATTGTTGTGGTTTGAATATTTTTTAATAATAATTGAAGTAATTTGGTATTTTGGAATATGATGAAGAACAAGTAAGAAAGATGAAGATAGGTTATTCGAGTAGTGGTTGTTTTTTTGTTTATTGTGGAAGTTAATCCAGATTGATGGTTGAATGGAAATCTAACCGTTACACAAAATTTAAATTAAATTTTAATAAAATCAGAATTAATAAATTATTAGAATTAGAAAAAAATTCCTCTCCACACCTTCATCATGCCATCATAAATATTTTAGAAGACAATTTATGCCAATCAATTTTCACACTCACAGATGTGCCGATACCTCAATAAGCTCTCCATAGTTTCTTTTGGGACTGTAGTTTACAAACTTCAAAGACCTTTAAAAGAAGTGATGATACTTCATCACCGAAGCTTCTCTTTCAACACACCTTTGCTTGATACCATTTAACTCACAAATAATCACAATAAGTTGAATCAACTTGTCATGTAATAGATAACGAACAACACTATTAACAGCTCATGTTCATCATTCATTATCCATGTTCACAACATATTAAATTCATGCCAAATATTTTAACCATTTTCTTCTCAAAAAGTCTAAATAAGTCCATCAAATGTGCATGGTCTATTCCGAGAGCTAAGAAATTTAAAATAAAAAATCAAAAAAAAACATCTTTTTCATACAACACACTCACAACAATCAAAGCTGTTGAATTAAAAAAGATATTACTAAATTATTATTGAAAATGAGTCAACCACCTTCCGAACCAACTCAACCAGTATCATCATCACAGTATGTAGAAAGTCTACCAATTCCAGAGGAATCATCACCAAGATTTAGATCAAATTCAAGGTCTCGAGATGGACCACTCTCTCCTACCTTCCAAAAGATGCCAGCCGATGTTTGGGATTTATCCTCTGAACACCATTCGAAAAAAGCTTCTCTTCCAAAATCACCATCAAGCTTATTAAAGGGATCTAACTGCAATTTGCAACAAATTGGAAAAACCAACTCATCATCTCAAGTTACACATCATTCAAAGACAAAATTAACTTTGGACATTATTCGTAAATTGCCAAAAGCTGAATTGCACAGACACTTGGATGGTTCTGTTCGTGTTGAAACCATCATTGAACTTGCCAAGGAACAAGGTGTCGATTTGCCATCATTTGATGTTGAAGAATTGAGAAAACTTGTCTCTGTTACAAATGATTGCACTTCACTTGTTGAATATTTACGTGGCTTTGATATTTCCCTCTCTGTCATGCAAAAGAGATACAGTATCACACGTATCATGTACGAAGTTTGTGAAGATGCTGGAA